AACGGGAGAGTCAACAGTGCTCAGTTTGAGATCGTTCTGAGGTCGAGCAAAGTACAGGAGACCAAGTCGGTCGACACCGCGTTGATCCTTTGGTGGAAGGTGGACCTGGTGACGATCGGTCAGCTAGGTCCTTTCTTTGAGTTCAAAAAAGAGACAGGTACTAGAAGGATAGACGGGTGTGCGAGATAGGTCCTGTAGAAATGTAGAGATGACTTACTCGGTGAACGGTAGATTTAACGTAGTTTCCAGTCAAGAAGCTGAGAGCATCACAAGTGTTGACAGTCAAAGAACCGTCGAGTGGTTTAGCCCACTTCCACTCTCCAGTCTTGTGGTCCTTGATCTGCAAGGCCGCAACTGGTTGACGGAAGAGTAGAGTGATCGTTCCCAAATCGGTGTGACCTTGAGAATACAGTCCATCATGAGAGAGAAGGAGCTCTTGTTGCTCAGGAGTAAACTTGGAGTATTTCATGTATCGCAGGTGGTCCTCTGACTTGTTCTGGTATTTGTGCAAGTTGCGGAAAAAGTCTTGAGGAAGCTCAAGAGCAAGGGAGATCAGGTCGTGCAATGGGTCTAGAATTTTGTCATGCAAGTCCTGTTGGAGCGATCGTTAGCATATGTATATACGTCGGAGTATATATCAAATGAGCGACTGACCCTGGCGAATTGCTCAATCTCCGGCTGGTTGTCCTTGATCAAGTCTGGGAATTCTTGAGGGAAGAATCCGTTAAACTCTACAGATCCATCGTCAGTAAAGCCACCCCTCCTGAGGATAAACTGCAAAAGTCAGTAAACGTACTAGGGATATTGTACACCTCGGTCTGATCAGGTAGACCGCCGGCAAGAAGACGTCGGCCGGCAGGACGGTATCCGTTGTACTCTCCATTTTCAAGATCAGGAGTGTACTTTAGTTTCTCCTCTAGAGGAAGCTCGTAGAATCGTTGGCCGAGAGCGAATTGTCGGTTAACTCGTTCTTGCGAGATATCGTAACCGACCACATAGAAGAAACCCTTGGTTCGGATCGCCTCGATCAAAGTCTGCGAGAGCTCGGCATTGCCTTCTGGGGTACCGAATTTTGACAGATCGATAGTAGGCACTATTTGACTGTTAGACAGTTACGCAGCGGGAGCAAAGGAATTTTCAACGTACAGTCAGCCCAGTCGAGATCCTCCTTGGTCTCGGGGACGTGGTTGTACTCGTACAGCTGAGGGACGGCGATGGGCATCTTGAGATTTTTGGTTGATTTTGGTTGAATGCACAAAGTAAGAAAGTTTTAAATACAGAAAGAGGGGCGAGACCAAGGTTGTCTTGGCTATTATGTTAGTACAGTGTAAGTGGTCTTTGCATTTTGGTGAGTTTAGCTGCCAAATCGTCGTTATCGGTCTGATCCGTATTGCTCATTCTTTGAACATGTCGTGATCGCAACAACAAATCCAATCGGTCATGTCCGCGTGACGATGGCGCAATCACTAGTCTTCATTAACCTGCCGTCGAGCTCGCAACCTCCACCTCGTAACGAGTACTCTAGGATATGACATTGTAAAAGGTAATGGTATTAACGTTTCAGTCTGTTCTTTCACACACACGTAAAAAGCCATCTACAAGAGGGAGAGGGAGAGGGATCAGAGGCGAGGTACAAGACGACTAAGCACGCAAGCGAAATTTAGAATGCGTCGACGACATTGACTTGATTATCGTTCCCAATTGTTCGTCGTCTATCGACCAGTTTAGCCTGATTTTGCACTAATAGAAGGGTGAGGAGGGATTACGTGCGGACATGAGCAATAATGTAGAAAATGACCAACGATGCTAAAATCATACTTTTGCGATGCCGATATTGGCGGGCAAGAGATTGGTCGAAGAAAAAAGATATATGTATAGAGCGTCGTCGTCTGAGAGTATCCACTGACAGCCTGAGTGAGACAAGAAAACTCACTCTACTGTGCTTTGAACTGAAAGGTCGTGAATCATGTCGGCAATTGTAAAGCGACTACAGCGTACTAAGACTGGTCGTGTCTTTGTAGATATCTTCGACTGGTATCGTGAGTAGACTTGAGAGTGAAAAAGTGGTAAAGTACTGACTGATCCTTGCAGCTGCTCATTATCCTGCTGCTGAACGTAAATTATTACGAAAGCTAGATGTGTCTATCCTGGTCTTTGCCTGTCTGAGCTGTAAGTTGGGCTTGAAACCATCATAGGTTGGACGTGACTTACTGACACGTAATTCAATAGTCTTTGCAAAGTTCCTTGATCAGTGAGCTTGCCACGGTGGATTTTCCGCTTGCTTGGGAGATGGCTGACGGATTGATCAAGGTCAAATATCACTAATGCTTATGTGTCGGGGATGAAAGAGGACATTGGCGCCTATGGAAATGCCCTCAACTACTTCAATGTTGCCTGTAAGTGACTCTCTTTCTACACCGATCGATCAAGCAAGCATCGCTGACAGGAAGGAACAGTCTATACCGCCTATGTGGTTGGTCAAATCCCAATGATGGTTCCACAGACCAAGCCAAAGATGTAAGCCTTAGAAGCAAACACTGAACCCACTTCGTTCTTGGCTGACAGTGTCTCTCTCTCTCTCTCTCTCTATCTAGCGCTCCGTACTTCTTACCGACACTGGAAGTTGTCTGGGCAGTTTTGACATTCTGTCAATCGAGAGTAGGGAAGCTATGGCACGTATACCTTCTTCGTGCTTTGATTGGGTTCTTTGAAGCACCTTCTTTCGGCGGAACTCACTTGATCCGTAAGTTTATCCCCCAGTGACTTGTATCCACCTATACCTGTACTTCGGGGTTTGGGGAGATGAAGAAACGAATCAAGGATAAGAGCTGATATGAACCAAAGTGGGAAGTTGGTATCGCCGTGAGGAACTCTTCAAACGTGCAGGAGTATGGTTCATGGGCAACTCGCTCGGATCAATGTTCTCTGGGTACCTTCAAGCTGCCGCATACAAAAATCTCAATGGTGTTAGAGGAATGGAAGGCTGGAGGTGGCTTTTCGTCATTGACGGGTGAGTGATTGGATCCACATTCTCCACAATCAACGTCGATTTGATTTGAATACTTGACCCGACCCGTAATCAAGACTGATATACCATTTTCTTTTCAGTGTCATTACACTCCCAATCGCATTCATTGGATTCTTGTTATTCCCAGGCCTGCCAAACTCGCCTAAAAGATGGTACTTAACAGACGATGAATACGCACTTGCAAGTAGTCGCCTCATCGCTGAAAAGGGACAAGATGGACGTGATCATGGTATCAAATGGTCAACTATCAAGAATACTCTACGAAAACCAATGTGGTGGATTTGTGTACCTTCCTATATGTGAGTCTGTCTCTTCAGTTCAGTCCCAGTCTGTCTGTACCTTTGAAACGTTGGAAGTTTCGAGTCAAGCAACAACAAGGAACAAAATCGTATACTATATGTAATCGAGAATGACAGCTGATATCCCGTTTTCCCTTTTGATGTTCAGATTCATGATTCAGGCAGATTATTGGGTCGGATACATGTCACTTTGGCTTAAAGCTCGTGGAGATCTAAGTGTCGAAATGATCAATGTCTATCCAACTTTTGTCAATTTGATTCAAGCTATATCTTCTTGGCTTGGAACGACATTAGCAGCGACTATTAGTATTCCTATCTTGTGGACTTTCCATTTCGTAAGTCCTTTTTCTCTCCTATTCTCTCCTACATAATATCACACACACACTCTCTCTCTCATATTTCTCCCTTCTCGCTACCTCATCTCTCGTCCCTTCTCTCTTCTACCTCATATTCCTCCAGTCTCTCTTCTCTCTTCTCTCCATTACCCGTTCTCTCTTTTCTCTCCCCCTTTAATCGTGCAGAGAATATACTGACACACCTTGCTCAGTTCTGGTGTTTCCTCGCTACCATCTTATTATCAGTTTGGTATATTCCAAACTGGTTAAAATTCGTCGCTTTCTATCTCGGTGGGATATCAGGCATGGGTTCACCGATCTTGGTATGTTTTGATCTCCTGATGTCCTGATAATCAATATCACCCCTTACCCCTCACCACAATACCCCTTACCCCTTCCTTACCCCTTGCCACAATACCCCTTACCTCAATCTCAATCACAATTACAATGACAATCTCAATTCGTGAGCTGAGCTTAGCTGACGGTCGGCATGTTTCACTCAATAGTACTCATGGATAAATTCGACTTTGAGAAATTCAACAGCAGAACGAGGTTTCATTATCAGTAGTATGATGACAGCTGGTTATTGCACTTATATTTGGGTTAGTCATCTATTATATAAAAACACCCCTATTCCGTGATCTCTCTCATCATCTCATCTCATCTCACATCACTCCTCTCCCTCCCTCCCTTTCTTCTCCTCCTTGCTTATCTTTCCAATTCGCAATTCGCAATACTACCTCCTCTTTCCACTCCGCAAACACTATCTCCTCTTTCAGAGCCAGCTCTCGAATGAATCTACCCAACTAACTCTCTCTAATAGGTCCCACTATTCACATTCCCAACTGTCGAAGCACCGAGATTCAAACACGGTTACCCAGCCGCAGTAGTCTTCACTTTCGCCCTCTGGATCACTGTACTTTCAGGTGTCTTGTACATGCGTCGTCGGGCTCAACTCGCACTGGAACAAGATGCTAGACCACGTGATTCAGAGAGTCTACAAGGAAGTGATGACAATCTCGATATGAAAGGTGATAGCGAAGGCGATTTCGATGAAAAAATCCTAGGACAGGGAGAAGGACAAGGACAAGGAGAAAGACGACGGGGTAGTGCTGGTGCCTTGCCTCCTGTTCAAAAGGTTGCGGATGGATTACCAACACTCTAATAAAGAGTATATATATGAGCTTTGTTGATTTGACTAATTAACCTCATGCATTTTTTTGGAATCAGGACGTCATTATGCAGCAGCCAGCAGTGATCATGTATGATCAAAGGTCTTCGGTTGAGCGGACAATCTGGTCATGAAACAAAAAGTAACCACCACGGGAGCAAAAGGAATGATGAGAGTGGGATTCGAACCCACGCCCCGAAGGACTGCGGAAGTTATGATTTCACATCACCTTAACACAGCGCCGTAACCGCTTGGCTATCTCACCGTTGATGTCGTTTTTCTTTACTTCAATATAAAGCATCATATTACATAGGTTCGGAAGAGCTACGTGGCTATCGGCGCCCCGGTCGTTTTCGCTAGCTCTTCCCCATCGGTTAATGACTCACCGGTACCGGTTTCATCCTTAAACCGGTTTATCCCGTCACGTTGACGTTCTTTCGCCCCCTTGACGCCGCTTCATGGGGTATCCGTGGAGCAGAAGGATATAAAACCACTTGACTATCAGATCTGCACACCACACCCCAAACGACGTTTTTGTCTCTCTAAGCGCCTTACCTCTTTCCACGTTCTGGATCTGACAGACAAAGATGCCTCAACCTCCACTGGAGATCGCGGATTACCTCTCCACTCCTCTGCCGGCGATCCGAGAACAGTTTCCTCCTGGAACTGGAGGGACTGGACCCAGAGCCGAGTGGCCAGAAGGGACATTGAAGGGAGTTCAAGTTATTGATGGCTTTGAAGATGAGGTGGTAAAATGTTAGTAGTACTGCCTCTCACCTTTTTGACATACCGCAGATGTCGTGCTGACTGACTATCCTCGCAGATATCGGATCCCTTCCTACCGAGCCTGTTCCCGCTCATCCAGCGCACAAGTATCCCAAATTTCTACAGGTCATCAGCAGTCTCCCACATGTCATCAAGTCTCCATCAGACTTACAAAAATGTCAGTGCTCTTGTCACATTGGACGATCGGCTGTACGGATACTGATCGAAACACCAAAACAGGCCTGTCTACTCTCCCTCTTGCGGCCGTCTCTTCAGTCTTGACCGCACTTGAAGCTGATTCATCGGACCTCCAAACTGGTCACCAGAGTGCTCAAGCCCTTGATAGAGCAGGATACGAGAGTGTGAGTCGACACTGATCGCCTTTCTGTCAAAACCAATTAACGAGATTTAGGACGGTGGAGAAGAAGATCAGGCTGCGGCAGTGCTTGAAGGCAAAACAAAGGCCTTTCAATGGCGATTCAACAAGTCTCCGATGGGTGAGCTGGAGGATATATCGCCTGGAGTTAGAGCTCATGTCAAAATAGGTTCGGGAGAATTCCTCCTGTTGCAGCAAGGAAGCGAAGATGTCAAGATGGTCGTGCGGACTATAAATTCAAGCGCATTGACTTCCGCCGATTGGGACGAGTTTGTAGTCACTGTGAGTACTCTCGCGTGTCACAGACCAAAGGTGAGTGTTAGCTATGACTGACACGAAGTAGGGACCATATCACTACACGACAAAATCCAAAGCCTCATGGTATTGGTCTCGCCAATGGGGAGCCTGTCGTCGTTTGAATTGCCGTTTCTGGGCATTGACAGACTATCAACGATGGGTCTTTGGTGTCTTTGACGAGAAAAGGGAACATTCTTGGGTTTCACCATTGCAAGATTACGATGTAGTCAACCCGAGCATCCTGCAAGAACTGTTTTATTGGGCTAGGTCAGCTGCTTAGCTTTCTTTCTCCAGCAAGTTAGCTGATTGCTGTCCAGGTCGTCGACTGGTGACGAAAAGGGATTCAAAAGGGAGAAAAAGGACGTCAGCGGTTTACCCGCATTGTTTCCTCCGAACCCTGCCAGACGTGTCTCAGTCAGCGGCGGTAAGAAGCCGAGATTGAATTCAGAGAATAAGGTCAGGGCCGCTAATGAGAGTGATGTGAGCTATTACGACTCATACAAGACTGTAGCTGACCCAACACAGATCGAGGAGAGCGATGCAGAGGGGGCTGACGGGTCGTGAGGGTCAGAGGACTAGGTTATGCAGGTGTGGATAGTGGCGAATTGGTTTGAGAGGTTTCTTTTACGAGGCGAGCCGTGGTGAACAGTCATGTCCATATCGCCTTTGGTTTATGCTACGATAGTTTTATGTTACTAGCTGGCACGCTTGGGTGATAGCTGCCAGTCTGACTGTCGGATTGTGCTTGGGTGGCTCTTAGGAATCAGCACGTTCATTCCTACCTTCGGGCTTTCCGACGGAAATCATCGCGCGCACATCGCCAACATCTAAATATGTGTAAGTTACGAGTATATATCCCCCTCAACAACACTCTTTTTGTCACAGCGCAGGATGTATCACCTACTCAAAGGCCTACATGAGCATCTGACGCGTAAAGATGAATATTCTGTAGTAATCATCGGTTTGGACAATGTACGCTTTTCTGTCGTCTCTCTTGTCTAACACTCAATCCACTCCATCTCCAACATTTAAGAGCGACTGCTGATTTCCTTCTTTCCTCAGGCAGGCAAAACGGTCAGTATAATGATAAATCGCTATCAGTACCAGTGTAGAGCTGATGGATGCTTGTTTGGGATATATGTAGACAATGTTAGAGCAGATTAAAACGCTATATAATTCTACTCCGGGTATGCCAGCGGATAAGATTGGACCTACGATTGGACAAAACAGTATGTCCATCCCTCTATGATATCCAACATTGACTGACTGATCTGTCCTGTAGTCGGCAAGATCTCCCTCCCATCTACTACACTCCATTTCTTCGATCTAGGAGGTCAACGTGATATAAGGTCTATCTGGCCTAGGTATTACGATGAATGTCATGCTGTTGTGTTTGTTCTGGATGCTGTGGATCAGGCTCGATTAAGTGAGACTTGGGAAGTTTTCGGTATGTGTTTTTTTTACATATCTACACTCATCCCTCTACTGCTAACACCAAGACTACTTTCTTCCTATCTAACCCTCGTCTTTTGTTCCTTTCGAAATACCTATCCTCGTCCTCACCCTTCTACTTCCACTTCTGACGGTCATTCTTCGTCACACGACCTTTATCTCTGTACAATTTCTCACACATCCAGACCAAGTACTCAACTCGCCACGACTCCTAAATCTCCCTCTACTCCTCCTAGCGAACAAACAAGATTCACCTCACTGCCTATCTGTCTCTGAAATCCGCGAATCATTCGACGCATGGCAACGTGCCCGGCCTCACCAGGCCGAAGTTGACAGCAACTCATCAGTACCGAATAGTCCTGGAGATGTTCACAGTGAGAATGGAAGACACGAACATGATGGGAAATGGGACGATGGTGGCGCCAAAGATGAACGTATGGCTAGTTTAGACGTCATGGGTGTTTCAGCTTTAACTGGGTTCGTGTCCCTTATCATATCATCAAGGGATAGCGTCACACTCGATGGAGACAAGGCTGATTTTGATGTCTATTTAGGACCGGAGTGAGGGATGCTGTCAATTGGTTGTATATTCGTGTACAGAACGCTCGGAAAATGTGAGTACTTTTACAGACCTTGAGGTGATGGAACGGGGTCTCTGATCAATTCAGTGAGGACCGAAATTGAGTCACATACTACATCGACCTATACCCAGCATGCAATACATACCCTCTGTCTCTCACATCCATCTGTGGTACATATTACGGTCAACCTATACACCCATATCACTATTTAGCGTCGACACTGTAGCCCTCGACGCTATTTAGCCCGCCCAACCCAAATCTCCACTTCGCCCTCCTCCTCTGCTCCCTGTACAAGCGCAACAAGGTCCACCTTGATCCCCTTGTCATCCAGCATACCCCAAAGCTCGCGTTCCGCTGCATCCCGCTGCTTGTATGCCAAAAGGAAATACGGTCTTTCATCGCCTTGAGGCAAGAGAAGAGCTGTGAGTGTCGAGAGGAGAGAGGGGAAAGACGCAGTGTTGTATGTGACGTCGGCGGCGCTTGAACAAGTGAGAATGACTCTCACTGTCTAAGGATACGCAATTAGTTAGACTCACATGATGAGATCTGGCCATCTGGCTGACTGGCCTGCCGCACCCGATATCCAAGAAGGAAGGGGTGAATCCCAATCCAGTACTTGTGTCTCGACAGTAACGCTGTCCTGAGCATTGGCTGTCGCCGAAATTCGACTGTTATCTGCTGAAGGAGAAATCGCAGGAGAAGTCAATGGTGAAGGACCGAGGTTGTTCGCGGCAATATTCTCATCCATCAAGCTGATTGCGGATGCTAGTTTGTTAGTCGAGCTTGTGTAAAGTGACTCACGAAGATCAGTTGCTGTGATTTGTGCTTGGCATTGAGAATTGTCCAGCCTGCTAAGAGCCAATGCAAGTGCTATAGAGACAAGTCCTGTACCGCTACCTATTACGTATCAATGATAGTTCTAAATGAAATGATCAAGTCGATGATGTGCGCGTTCTGACGAAGTAACAAACAGAATATCCAAGACACGTACCAAGCTCTAAGATATTGAGGGGATAAGTTGCTGCTGTTCCTCCTTGCGAACGTAGAATGTCTAGAACAGGCTGTACAGACGGATGTATAATCTCTTTCGGTTGGAGTACGAGGTATTTCCAAAGCCAAGAAGACAGAGCTAGTCCTGAATCCCATACTTTCTGCACTGATCAGCCATAGCCATAACTAAGAGATCGATGATAAGTTGCTCAACAAGTAAGACTCGCCTTGTCGAGATCAAACGATGTATGCTCTACTATCCTCAAGACCCTTGCGTGCTTCTTTTCTCCATCCTCGACCTCTTCCTCGTCCTCACTATTCCAAGCACTAGTGGTTGCACTGTCAAGTCTCCACTCTCTCCATATCCGACTTTGTTTGTCCCCTTGATCCTTCCCCTTCCCCTTCCCCTTCTTACTACTCTCCTTCCCTGTCTTACTCTCCCTACTCTCCTTGCCATTTTTAACACTCTCCTTTCCATTCTTACTAGTCTCTTTACTACTCTCCTTACCATACTCCTTATCCCTGGATCTCTCCAGTCGGCGAATAGGACCAGTCGAGCTCTCTCCCTGATTAATCGTAATAGGTTCTGACCAGACTCCTATAACTCCCACATCATCCCCACTTAGCGCTGAGAGATATGACGGATCACTAGCCTCCGATGGGAATAGTCCAAGTCGCCATTGATTTCCTACTGCGAACCCTTCTGGAAGCGCAACTTCGATGGATTGATATGGCACGTATGTCGCTATATGCTGGCACTTCAGTGGAGCGTCGAGTGATGGAAATGTTCGTTGCCATGTATAG